CTTTGGAGACATCCCTTCCTGAGCTAAGACAAAAAATGTGTGAGCCGGAGGCTAAAAAACTGTGAGCTAGGTCACACTAACTCAGCTTAGAGGGAACACTGGTTCTAACTCTTTAGTGTCATGCATCACTAGGTGGTGAGCTAGACTTGTTTTTCGGGGGGCTGAGAGAGCTCGGAGAGAGCTGGGACAGACCCAAGGCCACCCAGCTGGATTCATGTGGAGGAGTGCGGAATCGAACCCGGCTCTCCAGATTAGAGTATGTTGCTCTTAACCATTATACCACGCTTCCATGGCTGAGTGGGGGTTCGAACCTGGGTCCCCCAGATCCTAGTCCAATCCTTGCTTAGACCATGCTGGCTTTTTTGCATACAGCAAGCGGACAGGAGCTGTGTGCACCGAGTATCCCAGTGATCCTTGGGGTCAGTGTTCCCTCTAAGCTGAGTTGGTGTGAGCTAGCTCACAGTTTTTTAGTCCCCGGCTCACACATTTTTGTCTCAGCTCAAGAAGGAGGGCTCCAGAGCAAACTAATTTATGCAGCCGCCAAATCGCTCGCTCACAACTTTAATGAGAGTAGCTCACCAAGTAGAATTTTTGCTCACAGGACGCAGCTCAGAGGGAGCATTGCTTGGTGTCACGATTACACGAAGAGTCTCCCCATTTTCATGTATGAATGGATGAGCGGCACGAAAGTAGGGCTCGGCACTGAAACGTTTGGGCTGCTGGATGACGTGGCTTTGGGGGGGAGAAAGCCTGCTAATCGCTACCTTGTTCTGGGTCCCCAGGAGGCAGATACGGATGACAACCAAGGGACTCTGGACTTTGACGAGTTCTGTGCCTTCTACAAGATGATGTCGACCCGACGGGACCTCTACCTGCTCATGCTCAGCTACAGCAACCACAAGGACTACCTGGACGTCGATGACCTGAAACGCTTCCTTGAAGCTGAACAAAAGGTAGGAGTCGGGGACCTCCTCTGCCCAGTGTTGGAGTCCAAAGTCCCTGGAGGCTAAGTGAACTCCCCTCCGATTTATGACTGCCACTTCCCAACAGCCCCGGTAAAAGGAAGCCAGAAAAGACATTTAGGATGTTGCTCAACCACTTGAGTTTTGGAGCCCCTTCACTGTCCCTCCTTTTTTCACCTGTATCTTTGAACCATTTTTTTTTGTTTCTTCTTTTTGCTCTGCCCCTTCAGTTAGTTCCTTTCCTGAAAAGGGCAGGGTGTAATTCAGAGTTGAATACACCTAGAATTGTAGTACACATTCCTAATTGGCCTTGAATCAAGGTCTGATCTCCCATTTCTGTCAGTTTGGTATAGTGGTTAGGAGCACGGACTCTAATCTGGGAGAACAGGGTTTGATTCCCCACTCCTCCACATGCAGCTGCTGGTGTGACCTTGGGTCAGTCACCAGTTCTCTCAGAGCTGTTCTCTCAAGGGCAGTTCTCAAGAGAGCTCTCTCAGCCCCACCTACCTCACAGGGTGTCTGTTGTGGGGAGGGGAAGGGGAAGGAGATTGTAAACCGCTCTGAGACTCCTTTGGGTAGTGAAGGGCGAGGTATAAATCCAATCTCTTCTTCTCTTCATTTCTGACACTGGCATACCCTGATCCCACTTCAAAGTGACCTTTTCAGTGTCTGCTCTGTCCTCTATGTTTATGACTGCTCTGTCCTCCGTGTGACTTCTGCTTTTACTTGAAACGCTTAGCCAATGTGAGCATCTCCTGTGACAACAAAGTCACCTCTGAAGATCTGGGAACTTGTCCAAGTATTTGCAGACAAACAAATAAATCATCTTGAAGGTTTATTTAAAAAAAATATATTCCTTTGCAGTTTCGATAGTGACCTGGAGATGGGGTGGATGCTTGAAGGAGGAGCAAGTGAGCGTCTCTCTAGCACAACCCCATGGTCCAGGTGGCCTGTCCCTTGAAGCAGTGCCCATAGGCAAGCACGGGGGAAAATGAACATCTTCGTCTCTTGCTTGAGAAACAAATGACTTCCCTTTTGTGGCCTTCTGTGCTTGCACATTCCTGAGGGTGTCCCGCATGTCTTTGGATTCTCTCAGACAGCCTTGTTTGTGACTAAGAATGCTGTCGTCCCAGCAAGACTACGTGTTGGGGGGAAAGCACCGGCTTTGTCCTAAAATGTCAAAGGCCCGTAGCTAGGATTTTGTGGCTTGTGGGGCAAAAATTTTTCTGGCAGGGCTGAAGTTCCCAGTGCAGAAAGAAAAGCCATTTAGCCAATAGAGAGCTGTTACCAGGATAGATCTCTAAATTGCAAGCTGTCAACTGCTTTAGATGACAGCTCTCAGCTGCCGCAAGGAAATAACTTCTGCCAGCCTAAGCATCAATTCTAATAACAAGCCAGCAGGTGGGGGTGATGACTTCTATAGTCAAGAAAGCTAACAGGCAGAAAAACTCTCTTAAAGGAGACCAGTTTCTAGACACAGAGTGAGAAGGTATCCTAGAGGTCACCTACTCCAACCCCCTTGCTCAGTGTGGGAATTAGTCAACTATAGCACCCCACTCTGCTTAAAAGAGCGCACACCTTTAAAAAAATGTTTAAAAATGATTGAAAAAAGCATTTACAGGAGGAATTCTTGTGGGGTTGTGCCTTTAAGAAAGGGGGTGGAGAACCCAAAAGCCCCACTGTAGCTATAGGCCTGATAAATTAATCTGGGGCAAATGTTGGGATGTGGAGTAAACCAGTCAGTTTTATCGCCCTTCCTTCCTTCCTTCCTTCCTTCCTTCCTTCCTTCCTTCCTTCCTTCCTTCCTTCCTTCCTTCCTTCCTTCCTTCCGGGGATGATCAGTTCCCCCGCCACCTTCCAACTACAGTCTTTTATTCTGGTCATTCCTCTCTCATTCCTCAGTTTGGTGTGGTGGTTAAGTGCGCGGACTCTAATCTGGGAGAACTGGGTTTGATTCCTCACTCCTCCATATGAAGCTGCTGGAGTGACTTTGGGCCAGTCACAAGTCCTCTCAGAGCTGTTTTCTCAAGGGCAGTCCTTGAAAGACACAGGGTGTCTGCTGTGGGGAGGGGAACGGAAAGGAGATTGTAAGCCGCTCTGAGACTGCAAGTGAAGGGCGGGGTGGAAATCCAGTCTCCTCTTTCTCTTCTCTTCTCTCTGTAAAGCACCACCAAGTCTTCATTCCCTCTCTGAGGTTTCCTAAACACCGTTCTTGGCAGTGAAGATAAGCTGCCAGATCAGTCCGCTCACAGGAAGGATCCCGGGGAACAGAGGAAAGAATAGCGATCGAGGGCTAGCGGGGCTTCCTCTCTTATCCCCACAGTGCTCGTTGTGGTTAGCAAAACGGGGCCGCCAGAAGTCAGGTGCGACTTGGTGCCACTTTCCACCAAATGTTCAGGTTTGCCTCGAAGCCAGGAAAACCTGTCGCGTTTCTATTTATGGTCTATTAGACAGCTCTCCGTGACGGAGCTTTTATTCCACACTGGACGCTAGCGGCAAGCATTATTCTTAATGCACTAATAAAACCCGATCCGTTTGCATTCTTTGACTCCTAATTTTGGACGGTTCTTCTCCCTGATAAGTGCTTAGTCCCACACGCTTTGCGCGCCTTGGAGTTATTTGTGTGCCGTGAACTGAACGGCAGTCAGTGACCTGCATGTGCCTCTGTGGTCTAGGTGTGCTCCATATTACCTGGTTAACGAGCTGTGCTTTTTGCCTCGGGGCCTGAACAACGGTGAAGTTCGTGTGCCTTTTGCGCCACCCTAGTTTAAACCTAAGCAATGTTTGCGGCAGATTAAAGGGCCCCCCCCCATCTTGTTTCCTGATGGGCTTATGTAGAGCTTTCATCAAAAGCAAACAAACACACCGCTGTTTCGCCTCTGGCAAAACATAAGTGGCAGATTTCATTCCCCCCCCCCCCACACGCACACAGCTTTTCACGTCCCAGGTATGCATAAATCGCACTGAGCTGTGAAGAATGCTAAGTATTGTGCTTTTTTTGCATTTGAATCGACATCTGGAAAAGTCTGGAAAATCATTCATCCTTCATTCATTTATTGGAAATCTTTAAAGTTCAGGGCAGCTTTGCTTTGTACATAGGACCTCTCTCTTCTCAGCATGTGGAAAATAAGTCCAAAATGTTGTTTATAGAACTCACAGTCACAAGATGTAGACACGGCTGATCACTTTGCTGTCTTAAGGGGGAGGCAGATGAATTTAGACAGGCTGGGCTGAATGGATTCTCCGTGTCCGGTTTACTCTCTCTGCTTAATAGTTAATGGAAGATATGCAGTACAGAGGGGGGAGGTGTTTCTTTCATGCCCAGCTTGTGGGTTTACTGAAATCATCCAGCTTCCTGTTGGGACAATTGAAAATGGGATCCTGGATTAGAAAGACTTTTGATTTCTCACGGCGGCCTTAGGCTCTTCTTACCAAATTATCTACCTTCATTCAAAAGCAAGACAGGAAAATATTTTTGATGGCCTAGGCTACATTTAGCACTGAATCTCAGAAATAGAACGGCCAAGGATTAGCAGTGTCACTTATTTTAGATGCCTGAAGCCAATCTCGGAACCTGTGAATCTGTTGTGATGGCAGCATCTGAGCACGTCCGGAGGGCTTTTCTCTCCCGGCTGAATAAGCACATCCAACCCTGACAATCTATTTCTTTTATTTCCGTTTACCTTACTTCGTTAATACCCTGCTTTTCTCACTGAGGGGGACCCAAAGCGGCTCACGTCAGTCTTCTCCACTCCATTTTATCCTCACGACAACCCTGCAAGGTGGGCTAGGCTGAAAGTGTGTGACTGGCCCACGGTCAGCCAGCAAGAGTCTGTGGCAGAGGAGGGATTTGAACCTGGGTCTCCCAGACCCTGATCTGATGCTCTGACCACTCCACCACACTGAAGGGTATGGTGGGGCAATTCTATTCCAGAAGAAGAAGAGGAGGAGGAGCAGTTGCAGCAGCAGCAGCAGATTGGATTTATACCCCGCCCTTCACTTGGAGTCTCGGAGTGGCTTACAGTCTCCTTTCCCTTCCCCTCCCCACAACAGACACCCTGTGAGACAGGCAGGGCTGAGAGAACTCTTTCGAGGACTGCTCTTGAGAGAACAGCTCTGAGAGAACTTGTGACTGACCCAAGCTCACACCAGCAGCTGGATGTGGAGTAGTGGGGAATCAAACCCGGTTCTCCCAGATTAGAGTCCCCGCTCCTAACCACGACACCAAACTGCTTTCCCCCCCCTGTTGTATTTATTTATTTACTTTATTTCTATCCTACCATTCTCCCTAATGGAGACCCAGAGCAGCTGACATCCTTCTCCTTGCTGCCATGTTATCTTCACAACAACCCTGCGAGAGGGTGAAGGTTAGGCTGAGAGGGCGGGACTGGCCCAAGGTCATCCAGCAAGCTTCCATGGCCAATTGGGGGTTCGAACCTGGGTTTTCAGGTCCCACCACGCTGGCCGCGTGTACGTTTAAGCCCCTAGTGTAGGAAGATCATGGTATATATTCCCCTGCTTGCTCTTCTGCGTAGTTAGCTTTCCATCTGTTTTTTTCCCCCCATGGTTCACTGGAGGCTGCGAAATGTGTCCTTTGCAGGGAGGTGAATCATGACATTGCGCGTGCCGCCATCCCTCTAAATGAGTTAGCTTTGGTTTCCATGTCACTGGACTATCGATCCTACTGATGTCAAGAAGGGAGGGGGTAATGAACTCTGGGTGCACGGTTTGGTCTGTGTAGACAATCAAAAAGCCCGTGGGCTTGCCAATTCCCTCCTTTGCTGGGGAAGCGCCTCCTGCTTTACTCCAAGTAGTAAACGTGACTAGCTCTGGATTGTGTTCAGGATCCACCCAAGGCGTATGAATGTATCCAACAGTGCCTCGTATCCCCCTGATAAGCTTGCCTTCTGTTCTTTATACATATGCCCCTTCATTTGAGTGTGATTTCCCATCCTCATATCTCACTTGGCCGGCTGCCTCTTCCTCTCCTACCTTTCTCTATCTCTTTCCTGCCCTCATACTCACGTGGCTGATCTGTATCTGGGCTAGGGTTGCCAGTCCCTGGGTTGGAGCCACTCCCCCCGCTTTAGGGCTATCAGAAAGTGGGGAGTGGTGGAAATGGCCCCTGGGTGCTCCATTATATACTACGGGGACTGGTCTCCATAGGGTATAATGGAGAATCGAACTGTGGGTATCTGGGGCTCGGAGGCTGGGGGTTTTTTTTAGGTAGAAGCACCAAATTTTCAGCATAGCATCTGATGCCTCTCCTCAAAAAACCCTCCAAGTTTCAAAAAGACTGGACCAGGGGGTCCAATTCTGTGAGCCCCCAAAGAAGGTTCCTCTTCCTCCATTATTTCCAACTAGCAGTAAAGCCCATTGTGAAAGCAATACAACGAGATCTAGAAAGAGGCTCTGGGGGAGTGCTCTGGCTTTGGGCAAACAGTGTCAATTTGCTGTGGTGACCTCAGCAGGGTATAATGACAGAGTCCACTGTTTTCTCCAGATGAACTGATCTCTGCTACCTGAAGAGCAGTTGTAATTGTGAGTGATCTGTAGCCCTCACCTGGAGATTGGCAGCAATTGTTACCCAGGACAAAGTGGCTGGTTTGGAGGGTGTAGTCTATGGCATTCTACCTGTCTGAGGTCCCACCCCTCTGCAAACCCCACCCTCTCCAGGCTCCACCCCTCAAATCCCCAGGAATTTGTCAGCATGTAGTTGGCAACCCCATCTCCTTCCCAGCTAACCATCAACCTACCATTATCTGCCCCTTTGACTTCAGCTGACTTCTGCCCTCCCTTCTGCAGAGCAGTTGTAATTCTGAGTGCTCTCCAGCCCTCACCTGGAGATTGGCAACAATGGTTCCCTATGTGGGACTGACTGGTTTGGAGGGTGGAGTCTATGGCAGTGTACCTGTCTGAGGTCCCACCCCTCCTCAAACCTCACCCTCTTCAGGCTCCATCCCTCAAATCTTCAGGAATTTCCCATCTGGAGTTGGCAACCCTATCAGGATTGGCCCCAATGTGTTTTCTCCCAAAGGCCAAAGTAGGTGACAGGACCAAGCTTAGTTGCCTACCAACAGGCACTGAGGGGAATGTAGGGTTGCCAGCTCTAAGGAGGGAAATACCTGGAGGTTTGGGGGGTGGATTCTGTAGAGGGCAGCATTGGGCAGGTGCAGTGAAGTCCAATCAGCTTCCATATGCAAAAGACCTTGAAGGTTCCATATGCAACTGACATTCCAACTGCCTTGCGGGGAGGGGGGTGAGTTTGAGGTGTGGAATGCAGTGAAGTCCAATCAGCTTCCATATGCAAAAGACCTTGAAGGTTCCATATGCAACTGACATTCCAACTGCCTTGCGGGGAGGGGGGTGAGTTTGAGGTGTGGAATGCAGTGAAGTCCAATCAGCTTCCATATGCAAAAGACCTTGAAGGTTCCATATGCAACTGACATTCCAACTGCCTTGCGGGGAGGGGGGTGAGTTTGAGGTGTGGAATGCAGTGAAGTCCAATCAGCTTCCATATGCAAAAGACCTTGAAGGTTCCATATGCAACTGACATTCCAACTGCCTTGCGGGGAGGGGGGTGAGTTTGAGGTGTGGAATGCAGTGAAGTCCAATCAGCTTCCATATGCAAAAGACCTTGAAACACTGGGCGGGACTGCACAAAGCAGCCAGTCAACCCAGCCAGCGTCTTCTGACTGACAGTTCAAGCGTCCATACACTAAAGGAGTGCATTTTAGAACTTTGGCACCCACTACTCAATTATATATAAGGAGAGATGGCAAGAAGGCATTTAAAAAGAACGAGGTCACGTTAAATGCAATGGCCAGCTCACCTGGAAATTGCTTTGGAGTTCAACCGTGCTTCTTCCCTCCCCTCTCTCAGAGCCTCCTGGTATGTCCCCCGCCAGCTTGTCAGCCTCTCCTGGGAACCCTGTTTTGAACTGTATCATTTTATATGCTTGTACTAAAAAGAAAGAAAAAGATTTCCTTGCACACAGAAAGCTAGCTGGAACCGTTCTCCTTGAGATACTACATTTCTGAATGGCGAGGGTTTTTTTATTTTGCATGGAGGAACAGACCCAATAACGCCTATCTGAGTCTTTTTAACTGGAGGTTCTGGAGATTGAAGCTGGGACCTTCCGCCCTTTCCCAACCTGGATAGGGTTGCCAAGTTACGGCGGGGGATCGTGTGTCTTTGCAGAATCCGTGCCACGGGGATGGCGAGATGCGTTGCACCACCGTCGGCAGGACATGACGCTACGCGTCGCTCTGGCAATGGGGCTCCAAATAGCCCCGTTGCCAGAGCGACGCGTAGCGTCATGTCCTGGCGATGGCAGTGCAACGCGTCTCGCCGTCCCCGCGGCACGGATTCTGCAAAGACATGCGGATCCCCCGCCGCAATTTGGCGAGATTTGGGAGCCCTACTGGAGTGCATCATTGCTCTTGAGGTACCAAACAGATGCTTTCTCGGGCTTGATAAACTGGCCATCCTTAATGTAGAAACAAACATAGTCCTACATGATCCAAGCCCCCGTTCTCGATAACAAATCCCTACAGGGCCAGATCTGTAGCCTCAGCAGCAATAGTAAAATTAATAGACTTCCTCTGTGTACTCCGGGGGGCTCCCAAGTAATTACCGCAACCGATTTTTCTCCTCTCCTTTGTGTCCAGGACTTCTGCTACACAAACGAATTTCTTGACAGCCCAAATCAAATTGGATATTTTTGCCAGAGGCAGATTGCCAGAGGCCAGACACCACTTGGGGATGAAACTGACCCGGAAAACCAAAATCTGTGCTTTGCGTTCCACCCCAGACAACCCAGCGATGCTTTATGGGACTTTTTTCCCCATTAGGTAGCCCAGCCTATTGAAAGTGACATTGATTGGCAGGAATTGGAATCTTACTGGATGATTGAAACTGGGGGAGGGGGGAGGGATATCACTCACGGCCAGAAAACAGCCCAGTAGCATAATGGACAACTCTGGGACAAGAAGTATTGTTTAGAAGATCTGTTTTTCTCCATTTTATTTTTGTTTGTTTTATATCTCCCTCCCCCGCCTTTTTTTCCCCTTGTCTTTAGATGAACAATGTGACCAGAGAACACTGCCTGGAAATTATCAATCAGTTTGAACCATGTCCAGAAAGCAAGCAACAAGGAGCGCTCGGGATTGACGGTAAGACTCCAGTTTGCTTTTGCAGGCAGGGCCGAGAAAGCGGTGAAATGTTAGGTAGCGGAGGATGCCTTGAGTGAATGTGGTCTTGGTTCTACAAAGAATGGACATCTTTCTGGTGTGTTTTTGCTGTTGTGTGGTCTCGGTTCTACAAAGAATGGACATCTTTCTGGTGTGTTTTTGCTGTTGTGTTTCGTTTGGCATTATTCATAGTACTGTTTTCAGGATGTTAAGAACAGAAGACAAGCCCTGGGGGATCAGACCAGTGGTCCACCTAGTCCAGCATCCTGTCTCACGCAGCAACCAACCAGTTCCCCTGGAGGGCCAACAACAGGGCAGAGAGGCCGAGGCCTTCCCCTGATGTTGCCACCTGGTTCTGGGATTCAGAGGTTGACTGCCTCTGAATGTGGAGGTTCCCTTTAGTCACCATGGCTAATAGCTGCTAATATACTATCCTCCATGAATCTGTCTAATCCCACCTTTTAAAGTTATCTATACCTGTGGCCAAGGAGCTGCGGTGGCTCAAGTGGTTAAGACACTGAACTGCAGGCTGTGGAAGGTCGGTAGTTCAGTAGTTCGAGACCCGGGTGCCGCATGACGGAGTGAGCTCCCGTCTCTAATTCCAGCTCCTGCCAACCTAGCAGTTCGAAAGCAAGAAATTGCAAGTAGATAAATAGGGACCACTTCGGTGGGAAGGTAAAAGCATTCCGTGCGCCTCGGTGTTTAGTCATGCCGGCCACATGACCACGGAAACGTCTTCGGACAGCGCTGGCTCTTCGGCTTTGAAATGGAGATGAGCACCGCAACCCTAGAGTCGGACTCGACTGGCTTTCGAGCAAGGGAACCTTTACCTTTACCTATACCTGTGGCCATCACTACATCCTCTGGCAGCAAATTCTACATTTCAGTCACTCTGTGTAAATAAGTATTTTGTCTATCCTGAATCTATTCCTCTTCAGCTTCATTGGATGCCCTCAAGTTCCAGTATTTTGGAAGAGGGAGGAAAAGTTCTCTTTTCAGCTCTCTCCACCCCATGCATAATTTTATAAACCTCTGTCACGTCCCTCCCTTAGTCATCTCTTTTCTAAACTGAAAAGTCCCAGACCCTTCATCCTTTCCTCATCCGGAAGGTGCTCCTTCCCCCTAATCCTTTTTGGTACCCTCTTCTGTACTCCTTCCAGCTCTGCAATGTCTTTTTTGAGATACAGCGACCAGAACTGTACGCAGAATTCAAGATTCAAAATGCTTTTTAATGATCTGTTTCTCACTTCATGGTTTCAAGTCCAGTAGCACTTCAGAGACAAACAGGAGTTTTGCTCTCAAGTTCTAGTATTTTGGGAAAGGGAGAAAAAAATTATCTTTGTTGAGGAGGTCCAGGAGGCATCATAGTAGAGCAGGTTAATACTGGGAAATGTCCCGCCCTTCCCTACCCTAGATTTCCCCACTCCATGATGCTATAAGCGATTAGGAGCACAAACAAGGGAATTCACCTGTTCCTTCCTTTCCTGTCCTTCCCCCCCCCCCAAGATTCTGTGTCTACTGAGCATGCGTGGGTTTCATTAAGTCAATTTTTGGGTCCCTCCCCCTTCCAGTTTGGTGTAGTGGTTAAGAGTGTGGATTCTAATCTGGGAGAACCAGGTTTGATCCCCCACTCCTCCACACACAGCTGCTAGTGTGACCTTGGGTCATTCATAAGTTCTTTCAGAGCTGTTCTCTCACAAGCAGTTCTCTCAGAGCTCTCTCAGCCCCACCTACCTCACAGGGTGTCTGTTGTGGGAAGGGGAAGGAAAAGGAGACTCTAAACTGCTCTGAGACTCCTTCAGGTAGTTGTCCGATTCCCCACGCATTCGAAATAAATCCACGTTTGAAGAACAAAGTCGAATTTATTATAAAGCAATGGTTAGCTCAGGAACACAAGAATTGTTAGGAATGACTACAGACCCCAAAGGGTAACATAATAAAGGAACTTGAACCAGGTTAGGACCAATGAGTCCAATTCCCGCTGGCGGGAATGTAGATAAAACTAGCGCTCAATTCCTTGGGAACACAACGGTTCTACAACATAAACACAGGTTCAGTTCTCAGGCATGAGATACATAATAGGCAAAGCAACGCCATAACTCCATCCCACCTCCAGCTGGTTGACCTTGAGCAGTTCCGCAGATGTAGTAAGCAACAGAAAGTAAATACCTACAAAGGAGGATACAGGGGGGAATGGACATAGCACAATATAACATGTATAAGAGAACACACCACCTTATGGCAGCTTGCTGACAGTAGTGAGGGGCAGGGTATAAATCCAATTTCCTCCTCCTCCTCCTCCTCCTTAAATTTACAAATTGTTTCCGTAATGCCTGGGGAGTCTGCTGAGCATGCCGCAACTCCTGTCTCTTCCATGGATGTCCTCGTTTCACTCCCCCACTGCACGGCCCACGACCACTGAGGTTGCTATAAGGAGGATGAGTGGTGGAGGTGATATTTTGCATCTGTTTCTCTAACACGTAAACCCAAGGTGCGTTACAACTCCATAGATGAAAGCTGGAATCAATTTAAAAAATGGCAATAAACTTCTTGTAAAATACAGTATCGTTTTAAAATGTCAAGTCACTCCGAATGTCTTCCGAAAGAAGAAGGTTTCTTATCACGCTTTGGTAAGTAATCAATGATTGGGTCAAAGCGGACTTCAGGGATTCCGCAGGAAGGCAAGACCTGCCCTTTGTAGTGGCTGACTTGCCTCCGGTAGAGCAGGAATATCCACAGAATATCTAAGAGCCCTGCTGGCAGGGAAGGGTGGCCTATTAAATCCAATTTAACAAACAAACAAATAAATAAATAAGAGTGTCCTATATTGATCAACGCGTGATGTGGTCCATGGGGTCGCAAAGAGTCTGTGCGACTGAACAACAATAAAATATTGATGAACAGAAGTGGATGCTTCGTTGTTCTTTCTCCCAACTGAGATAAGAAGGGACAATTGGTTTAATTGTATTAATGAGGGTATAGACAGAATCCACACTTTTTCCATCCACCGGTGCTACAAATTGCTGTCAAGTCACAGCCAACTTATGGCGACCCTGTCGGGTTTTCAAGGCAAGAGACATTCAGAGGGGATTTGCCATTGCCTGCCACTGCATAGCATAAAGACATAAGAGAAGCCAATGCTGGATCAGGCCAGTGGCCTATCCAGTCCAAGACTCCATGTCACACACTGGCCAGAAATACCAGGTGCCATCAGGAGGTCCAGCAGTGGGGCCACACTCTAGAAGCCCTCCCACTGTTGTTCCCCAGGCACCAAGAATACAGAGCATCACTGCCCCAGACAAAGTGTTCCATCCATAAAAGGTAAAGGTAAAGGTTCCCTTGCTCGAAAGCCAGTCGAATCCGACTCTAGGGTTGCGGTGCTCGTCCCCGTTTCAAAGCCGAAGAGCCAGCCCTGTCCAAAGACATTTCCGTGGTCATGTGGCCGGCATGACTAAACACCAAGGCGCACGGAACGCTGTTACCTTCCCACTGAAGTGGTCCCTATTTATCTACTTGCAATTACTTGCTTTCGAACTGCTAGGTTGGCAGGAGCTGGAACTACAGACGAGAGCTCACTCCGTCATGCGGGACACTCGGGTTTCGAACCGCTGAACGACCGACCTTCCACAGCCTGCAGTTCAGCGTCTTAACCACCTGAGCCACCGCAGCTCCTAATACCTTGCAGCTAATAGCCACTGATGAACCCCTGCTCCCTCTATGCTTGTAGCCAGTGGCAGTGACTTCCACATGTTAATTACTCTTTGGGTGCGGAAGTCCTTCCTTTTATCTAGTCTTTTATTTGTTCTAGCAACCCTGGACTTCATTGGTGGTCTCCCATCCAAATACTGACCACAGCCGATCCTACTTAGCTTCTACGATCTGATGAGATCAGGCTAGCCTAGGCCATCTGGGTCCCTTGGCCATTACAGGTGTTCAGTCGCTTAACAGAAATTGGTAGACTTCTGTTACCGCCAATCACAGCGGTGGCGAATGATCACTGTGCTCATCATGTGCTTTTGAGTTTTGCATAAGAACGTCACCAAAAATGCCTCTTGCATTTTGTGACCTTTTAAGCCTGCTGTTCGCGTACAAGCACGCACACACACCCCAGTTGGAAGGGGTCTAGCTCCAATCCAAAACAGATCTGGGGAGGGAAGGGTAGATGCATGAAATCCAGTCCTACCTGCCCCCCCCCCCCACACACACACCTCAGGGTTTGGACTGTGTGAGTTTGGTGTTGTGGTTAAGAGCGACGGACTCTAATCTGGGAGAACTGGGTTTGATTCCCTACTCCTCCACATACAGCTGCTGGTGTGGCCTTGGGTCAGTCACAAGTTCTTTCAGAGCTGTTCTTGAGAGACCTCTCTCAGCCCCACCTCCCTCTCAGGGCGTCTGTTGTGGGGAGGGAGAGGAAGAAGAGGTTGGACTTCTACCCTGCCCTTCACTCGGAAGCCACTCTGAGACTCCGAGTGAAAGGCGGGGTATAAATCTATTCTCCTCCTCCTCCTCCTCCTCCGCTTCATAACGTTATCTGAGCTACTATTATGCCATGATAGCCCATGGTCCCGGCATTTGTGTTATGAATTCACCTGCTTTACCACCTGTCTGCCAACGCCAGCCTCAGGTGTTCTACCAAAGGGCACTTGCCAAGGGGCACGTGACAAATTCATACACCCGATAAACAGGAAACACAGACCTCCCAGTATAAAGGAAGCAATATAAGAGAAACTGGGGATGAAAAACCTAAGAAGGTATGAACATTCAAGAACTAGAAGTTATAAGCAATTGTAATCAGTTTTATACTAAAGCATAAGTACTCAGAATGTACAAAATACAATATTTGGGCCTAATAGCCAGAAGTATACAAAATCAGAACATAAAATGTAGCAGTAATATCAAAGCATTTACAATTTAACAGTTATATAGCAACAGTTAGCAGCAATATTAGAACATATACAATGCAACAACTATATAGAAACAGT